AGCTTGTGAGTTTTGGATTGTGATCCAAGATTCTTACTGGAATCTAGCTAACCACTGATTACGAAATTCCAAATAATTTTCTTAAACAAGAAGACTGCTATTATGATATGACTAAGTTTTTGCCTATAGATTACGTCTTGTCTAAACTTGAATCATTTAAACCATGCACTTATGGGTTGTACATTTCTTAAAATTAAATTGTGGGTGGTGATAATTTGCTATTCAGTCATCATGTTCATCTCTGGAGATATGCCTTTGTGTTTGGTTTCCTCTTCCAAGCAGCATTATTCACAATAGCCAAAAGGTGGAAACAACCCAAATGTTCATCAGCACATGAATGGATCAATAAAATGTGGTACATACATACAGTGGAATATTATTCAGTCTTAAAAAGGAAAGAAATGCTGACACATGCTGCAACACAGGTGAACCTTAAAGACACTGTGTGAAGTGAAATAAGCCAGACACTGAAAGACAAATACTGTATGATTCCACTTATATGAGTGCTATGGTTTGGATGTGGTTTGTCCCCACCAAAACTCTTGTTGAAGTTTAATTGCCAGTGTGGTAGTGTCAGGAGGCAGTGTCTACTGGGAGGCATTTGGGTCATGGGGTTTCACCTTCATGGTTGGCTTGGTGGGTGACTCTCCATACTGGATTTGTTCTCCTGGCAGGGTATTAATTCCCACCACAGTGGGTTGTTAAAAAGATTATGACTTCTTCAGTTTCTCTCTCTCGCTTCCTCTCTTGCCATGTGATGTCTTTGCACATGCCCACTCCCTTTCCACTTCCCACCATGAGTTGAAGCAGCATGAGGCCCTCACCAGCTGCTCGGTCTTAAAGTTGTCAGCTACCAGATTCACGATACAGTAAATCTCTTTTCTTTGTAAGTTACCCAACCTCAGGTATTCTGTTACAGCAACGGACTAAGACAACGAGCTACCTAGAATAGTCAAATTCAAAGAGACAGGAAATATGATTGTGGTTGCCAGGGGCTGTGGGTAGGAGACTATGGGGAGTTACTGTTTAGTACAAAGTTTCTGTTTGGGATGATGAAAAAGTTCTGGAGATCCAGCCTGATGATGGTTGCACAACACTGTGAATGTACTTCGTGCCATGGAATTGTACACTTAAAATTGTTTAAATGATAAATTTTATGTTTTATATATATTTAACTACAATAAAAAAAATTTAATTTGAGTTTTCCATACCTTAGACTGCACTAAACTATCCTTGCAGTATATGTGAGGGNGGGAGCGCCACCACACTTCCCAAGCGGCGCACTGTAGCAGTGCGCCACCGGGCCGGCCCAAATCTCTTTTCTTTGTAAGTTACCCAGCCTCAGGTATTCTGTTACAGCAACGGACTAAGACAATGAGCTACCTAGAATAGTCAAATTCAAAGAGACAGGAAATATGATTGTGGTTGCCAGGGGCTGTGGGTAGGAGACTATGGGGAGTTACCGTTTAGTACAAAGTTTCTGTTTGGGATGATGAAAAAGTTCTGGAGATCCAGCCTGATGATGGTTGCACAACATTGTGAATGTACTTCGTGCCACAGAATTGTACACTTAAAATTGTTTAAATGATAAATTTTATGTTTTATATATGTTTAACTACAATAAAAAAAATTTTAATTTGAGTTTTCCATACCTTAGACTGCACTAAACTATCCTTGCAGTATATGTGAGGGCATCTACAGAGAATGGCTATTTTTCTTCTAGCAAATGTAGTTTAAGAACAGGTCAATCTGATTTCCAATCACATAACTAGGTGGATGAGCATTATTAGTGAAATAAGCAATTGTCATGTCCCAGGCATCAATAATACCCACATTGAGATCAACAAAAATATCCCTCATAACAAGATTCTGGATATAGCCGTGAAAGTCACTAAACATCTCTACATTTTGGTGTACGTCCCTGGTGTTTTCAGTTTTAAGTATTACCTTGGTCCCTGGGCTTCTCAAGAATAGACGTTCAATGGCCTTTTGAATATTGATGGCCCTATGGATGAAAATACTGATGGGAAAGGGTCTGAAGTGTTGACCAAGGGTAATGACAATGATTGTGTCATTGTCTCCTGCTATCCGGTCAATTTCCCGTGAGATATAATTTTCATCTTTCACTGAGAACAGGTTTTTGGTAACAAATGGATGACTATGTTTTTTCCATTGAATCCAAGTATGTCTTTCAACATCCAGAAGAACATGTGTTTTAAAGATCCCGGTTCCATGGTGATCAAAATATTTTAAGGCTGATAAAAAACAAATCAATAAATCTTTTAACAAAAGGAAAATGATATAATTTTAAAATTCACACAGCATCTGTAAAATCCTAACCAAAATTACTTCTAACTAGAGCCTTGCCACCTATGCAAGGTAGAGAATTTTACCAGATGCATTAAAATCTTAACAAAATTTTGAACTTGTTATCAAAATACATGAAGAGGGAAAAAATGGTAACATTTGTGAATAAAAAATAAAATTTAACTTTTTATTAAAAGCCCCAAACCAAAAGTTTGGCAAGTGAAAAAATAATAGTAAGACAAATGTCAGAAAAGAAAAGCAA